TCAGGGAGTTTTTTCAAGGAAATCACCCATTTCACTGAGATTTCGTATATTACCCCAGTTCACACAAACATAGCAAACAATGATTGTGAAACTATTCAATTCGCTCAGCCTCTTTAATCACCTAGACAACATTCGCAACAACTTTGTTATAAATAAATCTATTTCGCAATGCTTTATCTTTCTGTTGATTTTTACCTTAATTCTGTGTAAACTTATATTCCTCAAGTTGCTCAGCAGTCCGTACGTTGAAAGTTGTCCCAAACGGATAGTCTCGAGTAGCTGGATTATCGATTTTAAGAATACTAACATCAAAAAAGAAATATGATACAGGTTCTCTGAAGTTGTATATGCTATTTAAATTCACTGCCTTTAGGTGAGAATGATTTCGATCACCTACATCCCTACTAAACTTACACAGATTAATTACTACTATGCTTATACTTTTAAAACTTCAAAACTGATAGCGTGACAGATAGTCGTAACGTTACCTCTGAGCTCATTAACTCAATAGTATGTTGAAGATGATTGACCAAAAGGTATAGACAAGTTTTTTTACTTGATAGAATCCAACAGTTCTATTTTCAAGAAAATATTATATTGGTATTCATCGTAGAAAATTAAAATAGTTAGACTTTATCCGTCGTGTAACATATCCAGTAATTATAATTTCAGGAAGATTGCCCCAAAATGCCCTGGTACGGCCGAGAGTGGGGAGAGTTCGCTCTCGCTCTCGAAATGCTCTCACATGGCCACGCGTATATAGCCCCTGCCAGGGAATTCCTACTCACTGCTTTCTCGTGATGGGGGTGTTGTTTACGAAATTGAGAGGACAAAAAGCGAATGTCCGGCGCTTTGACCGGGTTGGTGTACATGGAGAGTCCACCTAGGGGAGTTATGAAACCCTGATTCCAAACCAATGGTGCACATAGGCTCCAGTATCCTGACGGGTCTAATGGTCACCGGCTACTACAACTCCTCACGATGCTCCAGCGTCCTGTGGGTAAGACTTTCAGGTCAAACGCTCGGGATGTGGCCTCCTAGGGAAACCACCTGCTTCGATCTGGGCATCCGGGCAGTATCACAGCCCATACGCAAATAGAATGAAGTGACGATATTTACTGAAAATGTAGATAAAACAGCTAGACTTGTCTAGAAATTCTATTTAAATTCCTTGAATGCTCACAGTACCTACGGAAGGACAGGGTACGGAGGCGTGGCATTATCTTACACAAGAACAGTGCTCAAACTAAAAACCTAGTCGGCGGAAAACGTATAAATCAGTGACGAATACAACAGTTCGTTCTGAAGACAAAACTTTGATACATAATAAGTTCATGTGATGCTTCGGAACCTTGAAAATACCACGAACACCCACTGACAGTTGAATGAATAACATTATACTTTGAATATATGTATTGAAATCATACAAGTAAAAAGTAGAATCTCAGTAAATGGGCACAGCAACCCAAAAAGCAACATTTAGATCCATTATGCAAAATATGGCAGGTCTTTGGAGAACTAAGAAATTAGCCACAGTAAAGTGGGTGTACCTGATCTATAATAACTTGAATAGACTTTGAGTAGTCCTCTATTCTTCCTTTTAATTCCTGAGCGAGCTTCTCTTTTCTTACGCACTCAGCATTCAAGGCATCAATCTCCTTGCACAACATTAGAATGAACTGCTTAATACCTCTTTCAAAGCATATTCCTGACAGTATGTTGATAGTGCGAGGCGCTTCTTAATAAACCATGAGTCCATTTGTCGGCAAGCGTCTAGCAGCGATGCCATATGTTTATCATTTAGCCCATGTTGTGATTCTGAGATATCGGAATCATGCAAACTCGTCGAAGAAAGCACCATAAATATATTCTTGAAAAAATACATCTCAACTCATCTCTTACATCTAACTGAGTCTCAAGATCCGAGAGAACTTTCGCATCCGAATCCATCGGCCTTGAATCAAATCAAGCAGTATCTATCTCTAAATAACTCTAGAGTTTCAAACAAAAGCAATAATAATTTAGCAGCTGGCGTGACTACCTGTTTACAAAAAAAGTGAATGGCAACAGAGGTTAGAACGGTGTCATCAAAATTTTAGAGTTTATATAATAATAACTTTTTCATTTGATATGAAATTTTAATTTGCTTGTTAGAATTAGTCAACTGTTTCCTACTTTTAATGTGCGTCTGAGTGGTTAGAAAGCGCTTTTGTTAACGATTTTCAGTATATTTTTCCGGCAACTGGGGATGAAGCTATTTAGTAAATAATGGATGTAGTCGAGGAGAAACACTTTTAGTAATTCTTCTTAGAATCCATAGCGCTAAAGTAACCTCTCTTCTAAACTTTAAGTGGAGAGTGTCCTCACTTTGGCTTTCAGTAAGGGGTTTTGTAGATTGCTGATTTGAATCACGCAACAGTTTGCTCTGACTTATGTACGAGCTCCTCCGTATTCCATTTTAAGTGTGACTTACTACTAGGACGTATCAGTGGTTCTCCAGTCCTATGTTGGCCATAAGATCAGGGTTTTCAGGCAGGCTGATTGGGGTTTAGTTTCTGGTTCGAGTTACTTTCTTGTTCCCTTTCTCTGGGCATATTCCATGATAATAATATGTCTTCTAAGAAAGGTTGACGTGGCCCCTTTTTTCCGAATGAGATTTTAAATAAATCGTGAGAGTAGCTTAAAATAGTTCGGTGGTCGGTTTGCCATACGATGTCAGGACAGCAGAAGTGTTAGATCTTACAAAAATCGCATAGGGAACAAAAAAAACTTGACATGATTTTTTTTAGTTATTATTTCTTTCCACTCAAATAAGGCGAAATCAGATAAACAGACTAGGCTTACTTGTGGGTTTATAATTTGGAGTATACATGGTATTAAACAATAAAATGAACAATTCGTTTAAAGTAGACATTGGAAGTCCATAATAAAAGGTAGTTAGACTTCTGCTTGACATCACATAACGTATGCTTTCAAGAATATGCCAATCTCAAGTAAATCCCTCTACAAAAATGATTGGATTGGTAATTCTGAAACACGTTTCGAACAGTTTAACGGTGAAACATAAAGCTCAACTTATGACAGCTATTATCCGACCCTATTCGCACTGTGGAATTAAAATGTCTCCCGCTTCACTTCAGGAAAATAAGGACAGTCTGGAGTTTATCCAAAGTGGCGCCGTAGAATCATATTGTAAACAGAAATACAAGAGTTACGAGGCACCTCTTAAATCACTAGATCTTTATTTTTTGGATGCACGTGACCCAGAGGCAACTTTTAAATGACTTAAAGCACCCTAAACATTTCAGGATATCCTCTGAAATGCCCATCTAGGTTCAGTTCTAACATGAAAGTTGAGGTAGCACATAAAAATTAGAAATGGGCTGCGATAAAGTAGACTGTAAGCATGCTTTTAGCTCTCAGCGAGTAATCAATTCTTTGTATACACTACCTCATGAATTGGTCCAAGCAACTCTTCCAGGGCCATCAAACGGTAAGTCATTAAGTCTGAAGATGGCACAGGTATGCAGTGTTTGACAACGCTTTTACCAGTAACACCCTCTAATAAAACTCATACCCGCCAAGAGGAATCAAAAGACAGAATCGAGGAGATCAGAAGTTGTATTTGACGATGACCAATATATCGGAATTGTCTGATCTAGTCTGGCTAGTGGTTGTGGTAGATGTTGAGCACGGTGTTCCCACACGTGATCTGGTGCGTATGCATGACCTGGCGCCTTCAGCTAGGTGAGTCCGTTAAAACATGTGGTCGGCATCCAATGTCGAAAACTTACAGAGCTATTTATTTCGGGGATTTATTTACCGCTACAAGTCATTTGGAGAACTCAAATTCAATCGTAGTGACTAGCCCCATAGATCATTGAATCTTTACCCATAAGACTACAAGCATCCCATGGCTGACCTAGTGACTCATAGCATCTTAAACACCCTTGGGCACCCTCTTACCTCAACACAATCCTTGATAGTAACACTCAGAAAACAGAGAGACAGAGTAGTAGAATGGACTGTAGGGACATCTTTTACCCTTTAAGACTAGCTAAATCCTAGAATCACTTGACGGCTGTGATTAGCAAAGTGTTTTCTTAAGACCCATTCATAGGAAACTTGTATTATCCTTGAGGACTTGGGACAGTACGCCACTATAATTCACGAATATTCTCGTTTTGTTTTGTGAATAGGCTTAGGCTCCTACATGCAAAGAAGGATTTATCTATTTCCTTCAGAACCATTTGAATTATTTGAAGGAATTTGGTTTTCTGTTCTATTCTTGACAAAAATACCTTCCGAGCAAACCTTGCACTGGTAACGTTGAAGCGCATTTTTGGACAGTTTGACGGACGAACTTTCCATACAATCTTCAATAGTCTCATCCGTCCCCATTAAGAGTACGGAAACATAGTACTCTCCCCACTCCAAAAGGATAAGGTCACTTTGGAGCGTATCCAACGGCGAGCCACGAAATCAGTTCGAGGACTGAAATCTAAACCTTACGAAGAACGCCTCCATTCATTAGACCTTTACCCATTAGAGTACAAGCGTCTTAGAGGTGATTTATTAATGGCTTATAGTATTCTTAACACTTCTGGACATCCCCTTAAACACTTGAGCTTAGTTCGAATAATAACCTAAGGGGTAACACCCAGAAACTGGAAACACAACATAGCAAGACGGAATGTAGACACAAGTTCTACTCCCTAAGAGTTGTCAAAAGCTGGAATTCGCTGCCGTCCGAGCTAGTCCAAGCGACTTTTCAGGAGTCCTTCAAGAGGCAACTTGACCTATTCTTAAGGACCAAGGACAGCATCACACTATGATTTACCTATTTCTTTTCCTCTTTTATTGTTAACATACCTAGGTTCCTGCCTGGAAGATTTGGTGATCCCCTGCTACTAGACACGGAAGCCTGTTAAGCGAAAGCTTCTTCTATTCCGTCCACAACCATTTGAACCATTCGAACCATTTGATGTAGGTAGTAAATTTAATTTTTCGCCAAGGTCGCGCTTTGGTGCACTTTAAAGTCTTTCTGCGTGTGGCTTTATAATGCCAGAGGTTACTCATCAAGATAATGATAAAAAGACAAAGAAGGAACTTAGAAAATTACAACGCGATATAGGTAAACCAAAGGTTCAAGAAGCAGAGGTTGATCAGGTGAATTTCACTAATTTCTTTCTAATAACGGAACCACTGGTATGTAGAAAACTGTGGTTAAGCTCCTTGGGGAAAATGGGATACTTGATGCAACGGATGCATATGGTGTTCTCCCATTGTGTCAGTCACAGTTTACTGAAGGCCCCAAATACACTGAACTGAGAGAATTGTCAAAGGAGTCAAATATCAATCAAAATGTGTGGGTTCGTGGGCGTCTTCATAGAAGTCGAATGAAAGGAAAACTATGTTTTTTTATACTACGTTTACAAGACTACAGAGTTCAAAACGTGCTTTCTGTCGGGGAACGTACTCCAAAAGAAATGTTGGCATTCGTCTCCAGGTAACTCGTTATTTAGATGCTGGTGCTTTTCGTATGGTTTCTGGAACCTTCCTACTCTTTTTTCTTTTATTGTCTTGATAGACATCGAAGCGGGCTTGTAATTCACATTCAGACTAGTCTCGGTTTCTTTGAATTGGTCTCTTACTTCTCATCCACTGTACAGACAGTTATTCCGGTTGAAACAGCCGTTTGGTTTTGCCATCCTATATATATATATATATATATATATATATATATATATATATATATATATATATATATATATATATATATATATATAGTAAGCAGTTAATTCCATGGTCGTAATAAAAAGATTTCATACAAGGACATGATACAGGGAGGAAGAATTAGTTCGAAGAAAGGAATTTGTAATGTAATCTTAATCTTGCGGTTTAAGAGAAAACAAAAAGCATACACCATTGCGATCAATTCTGTGCCGTGTTTCCCAGATTCTCTAACCATTATTTACGATACTCGCGCGGACCACGACCAAGTAGTCTGCATCTACCAACATGGCTCCGACAAGGACTTAGTGACTATGGATTGATGCCACATCTTAGTTCGGCCGTCCCCAACTCTTCCACCTGTCTCGAACACTAGTTAGCATTGCACGTTGTGGTGATTAGTGTTCAGGCACGCGTAATACGTGGCCCAACTATCTCAGTCAATGAAGATTCACAATCTCATCAACTGATTTATCTTCGTTCCCGAATACTCTGCGTCTAATCTCACTAATACATACCCGGTGATCCCAGCAGATGCTAGCATTAATAATAAGACATCTGTGATCAGATACTAGTATCTTCGACTCTCAATGGACACGTTTCGTAGCCGTTAAGTAAAACAGAACAAACTACCGCACAGTATACTCATCATTCAATTGACAGACGGATACCTCGTCTTCACCACAGGTGACGTAGGTTGGTGAGGGCCAAACAAGCTTTTCAAATCTATGTAGAGATTTCGTCAGACACCAACCCATTAAGGCTGACCAGAATTTCAAGATAAGCGTTCGACCACTTCACTCCTTATCCTTAGTTCAAGTGTTGGCCAGTTCTGAAGCACCAATGTACATCTAGAGTTTGAGAAACGGATCCTGAACATCCTGGTATTGTTGCTCAGTGCTAATAAACGACTGCATTTTATTAGCGTCTCCATATTCGAAAACATGAATCAAATAGATGTATCAGCCATTTCATGTGCAAGTCTTCCAACAATAACCGTGTAACAAACCGAATATTTGTAATGATTCATATTCTTGTGTTATATATAATTCTCTTCAACGAATAGTAAGACCCAATATAAATTAACACTTCTGTTGAATAACTGTTCGGCTGGTTATTTCATTAAGCCCAGGTAGTATCAGTATGAAACTAATGACCGAACATCATGCGATGTGAACGTTTGATGAGTCATAGAGCAGGGATAATTCAGTTCCTTGTTAGCTGGCTTTTGTTTTTGAGAAAACGATTATTTATTTTCAAGTATGTAGTAACTAACCAGTCAAGAATTAGTAGTATCATTTAGTTTTCAGCACAGTCTTATGGACTCACTACATTCCTTTTACACTGTTAACCATGCAAAACTATGGGTGATGTTATGCTTTGTCATTCTCCTTGACTTTTAATAGTAACAGGAATATGTTGTGGAAAATCACATAACGTTCTGATTTCATAATGTAATGTGTGATAAAAATTGGTTGTGACAAAGTAACAGTATATCACACCACGTTGTCATTAAAATCCCTTGGAAAATAGTGATCGTTAGTGTTATGTGTTTCTTCTAACCTATTGTTGTCTGTTGGCTCTCTTTTTTTTGATAAAGCATTTCTAAGGAATCGATCGTCGATGTTTTTGGGCGAGTTCTAAAAAGCCCTGTTCTCATTGAGGGTTGCAATCCAGATACCATTGAAATCCATTGTGAAAAAGTGTTTGTTGTAAGTGCTGCTCTTCCAACTTTACCTCTACAAATTGAAGACGCAATGAGACCTGATGATGACGAAACGGTTGGTTACGTAATATATTTTTTCATATTCACTTAATTGAAACGCGACTAAACTAAATACTTTAAATATCTAGTTTATAATATTAAAGTTTTTGAAACGTGGCCGTTTGTTTTTGGTGAAAATTCAATTGCAGATATTGCATTTCAAGCTAGTAGTTTCGAAGGATTAGTCATTTTTCAGGTAGTTGTTGCAGACTTTTAATACTTACGAACTCTTATGTTGTAAATTTCAGTTCCTAGAGAATAGAAGCTTCAGTCATTTCCACGAGTAAATTCGCGCATTTCAGGTTTTAGTCCAGAGTTATACCTTAGATATCTTTCCCCTCAAAGCCTGTATTACGTAACTTTCCATGGTTCCCAGTAGTTTTTTTAGGTGATATTTTTCGACGAAGAAACTCACAAGTACAGTATAATATTGTTTATTCAAAGGATTAAGAAATACATGCTTGGCAAGTGTGAATAATTATGTGTGGGAATGTATTAGTGGATAAGATATCTGGGTATATTGCAAGTCGAATAACCTACTCTTTCGAAAATTCTAGTGATGTTTATTTTCACTTGTCAATATTAAGCCTGAAATTTTATTGTTCAAATGCAAATGTTATATTTTAAGTTTTCGCTTCAATTCCAGACTTTGAGTCGAGTCAATCAGGATACTCGTTTGGATAATAGATGCATAGATCTGAGGACTCCGGCCAATCAAGCTATTTATCGGGTTGAAGCTGGTGTAGTCAAATTTTTTATGGAATACCTTACTAATGCTGGGTTTGTGAATATCCATACTCCAAAAATGATTTCAGCAGCTTCCGAAGGTGGTGCAAATGTTTTCAAAGTGTCCTACTTTTCTGGTAGTGCCTATTTGGCCCAGTCACCTCAGCTATATAAACAAATGGCCATAGCGGCTGACTTTGAAAGGGTACGTTTCTTCTGTGAGTTTACTCACACGTAAGTCTTAGATTGGATTTGTATAGAATTTTAATTGCAAATCAGCTATAAGACACATACTCGTTTATTAGACTTGGCTTCACTTAATGTGTGATATCAAATGATAGCACCTATCTACCACTATAGATCAAGGTTGTCGAAGTGAATTTTAATTATTGACTCAAGTATTGGATTAAATGGCCAGACCAGTACATTAGTCATGTAATCGACCTACTATTTATTATTTATTTATTTATTTGAACACATAAATATTGGTACAAGAGAGCGCCAATATATATGCGCCACACAAAACAATGGGAATTCGAAGAGAAGTAGAAAGAAAAAAAAGAAGAAAAAAAAACTAAGGAACGCAAAAGAAAGAGAGAGTAATGACGAAGAGGTACAATCAGAAGAAATCTTTCAGTTAAGGAAGATACAACCACTTTTTATGAAGAAAGTAAAAGAAGGTTACAGCAGGATCGCCACTGGCTTCTATTCTGAGCCATATCTGATAACGTCTCTAGCCACTGTGTAGCACCATCTCTCGGACCCCAACCAGGGAGTCGTGAAGGACCAACACAAGCCAGTCCTTTGCAGCTTTCTTTCATGCCACGACACCATGTCATGCACTGACCACCTCTCCGCTTCTTCCAACCAGTCCCAGAGTCGGCAAATAATGCACGACGTGGAATTCTCTGGGACGACATTCGGAGAACATGTCCAAGCCACCGAAGTCGGTGTTTCAAGATGGTGACACCAATTGAGTTATCATCTCTGTGCCCGAACACACGATGCCGAACCTCTGCATTACTGACTTGGTGTTGCCACTGAATGTCAGCAATCCTTCGGAGACAGCGATGATCGAACACAGAGAGTCGTCTAACGTCCTCAACTCGGAGAGGCCAGGTTTCACAAGCATAGAGCAAAACTGCTCTCACCGACGCGTTGTAGATCCGGCCTTTTACAGCCAGACTAACATCACGAAGGCGCCAAAGGTGGCCCAGATTGGCATAAGCCGCTCTGGCTTTCACTATTCGTGCATTGATCTCATCACTCACACCCCCACCAGCACTTATGCAGCTACCCAGATACACGAACTTCTCGACTACTTCTATCTGCTCACCATCCAGGGTGAGTACAGGATTGGAATCCTGCCAGTCTTGTAGAAGTACTTTGCACTTCGAAGGTGCAAAGCACATACCATACCTACGGACATTGATTGCCAACTGATTAAGTGCGGATTGCATGCCTTGGGCATTATCGCACAGTAAGACAATATCGTCCGCATACTCAAGGTCGAGAAGTCTTTCTCCAGGCAGCAGATCCACACCACCATTACTTACATTCATCAGAGCTGTTTCCAGAATGTCATCGATGGCAAAGTTGAAGAGGAATGGTGAGATTGGGCAACCCTGCCTAACCCCACTGCTCGAATGGAACAATGGAGAGAGGTGGTTGTATGCCCTCACTCTGCCTGAGGTGTTTTTATACAGGGCTTTTAGGATGTTAATAAACTTCTCAGGCACACCCTTCTTCAATAGACAATCCCAGAGAACAGTCCTATCCAACGAATCGAAGGCAGCCCTGATGTCAAGAAACACTACGATTGTTGGCCTTTGAAAAGTATGGCGGTGTTCTAACATTTGGCGGAGGGTGAAGATATGATCAATACATCCTCGACCAGAACGAAACCCAGCCTGCTCCTCGCGAGTCAATCTTTCTCGGGTTTTGAACAACCTACGAAGAATGACGGAAGCCAATAGCTTGGACGCAATCGGAAGTAAACTTATCCCCCGATAGTTGTTACAAGAACGACGTGAACCCTTTTTAAAGATAGGGACAACTATCGACTCATTCCATGACGTTGGTACACTCTCTAGTTCCCAAACCTTTGTAAACAACGTCGTCAATTCCTTAGTCAAAAAGTCACCACCATCTTTAAAAAGAGCCGGAGGTAAGTCATCTGGGCCAGGTGATTTGTAACGCTTCAAGAGTTGGAGTTCCTTGCGGACTTCCTCCTCATTTGGTGGATCAGTCGTCACCGGCCATGGAGGGCAGGACAGTCTGACCGATGTTGCCGGAGCAGCAGGCCAGTTGAACTGCCCTTCGAGAAATTCTGCCCATCGTCCAAGACGTCGATGGATGTTAGTGATTGGCATCCCATCATCCTCGCAGATTGTTTCACTCACACCAGACTTCTTGCTGCCAGTGGCTCGGATGAGTTGGAAGAGCTTCCGGTAGTTACCAGATGCAGCTGCTGCTTCCAGCTCATTAGCACGCATCGACCACCAGGCTTCTCGGTCCTTACGCAAGCTTTGCCCGATTTCCTTACGTAAAATCCTTCTTTTATGGTCAAACTCACGGTTACCCGGAGTAGACCGACGGGCTTCAATGAGTTGTAAGGAACCAGAAGAAACCCAGTGCTTAAAAGCGGGACGTTTCGCAAACCCACAACTGACTGTTCCCGCCATTTTCATGGCGTCATGCAATTGCAACCAATGCTCATCTATACTTTTCGGTGGAGTGGTAGCTAGCCTAGAGGCTAGCTCGGTTCGATACTTATTTGCAACAGAAGTTGCAACCAGCTTGCTAACATCAATCCGTTGATGGCGTTCACTTCGTTGTCCACTGAAAAGTAAGGCAAGATTGGCGCAGACCAAGGCATGGTCAGAGTCCAGATAGGTACTCCAAAAGGAGCGGCAGTCTTGTACACAACCACGCCAGCGGTAGCTGATCGCGATGTGATCAATCTGAGTCCAGGCTTGAGATGCAGAGGAAGGACGCCAGGTGGCACATCGGCGATGACTGTGCCGAAAGTTAGTGCTAGCCAGAAACAGGTTGTGGTCTGTGCAAAGTTGCAGTAGACGGTCCCCGTTATCTGACCTGCGACCAACGAGTCCCCATCGGCCACCTAAACGACTCTCTTCTGTGCCTAGACGCCCGACCTGAGCATTCAAGTCTCCGGCTAGTACTACAATATCTGTCGAACGCACTTTCTGGAGAAGAACTGATAACTGGTGGTAAAACTCATCCTTGATTGCATCCGGGCTGCAATCTGTCGGGGCATAGGCGGAGATGACGAAAAGACATCGTTTCTCACGCCGATTTCTTCTCACTTTGATGGAACTTTCTAATCTAACAGCACATAACCGACTGTTAATGGGGATCCAATCGACTAGTGCTGCCTCAGCTCTAGCGCTTAGTGCGACACCAACGCCAGCAAGACCAGACGAAGATGCCACAGGGTCCCCGGATAAGCGCACGTAAAACAAGCTTTTCGAAGCGACAGATGGAGATCGAATTTGTAGTACTTCGCGAGAGTCTTGAATACGGGTCTCGGATAGACAACACACGTCGATATTAAGACTTTCCAAAGACATAGCCAGCCCTATCTGTTGTCCGACCTGCATAAATGTGCGAACGTTGAAGGCAGCCAGTTTGAATGGTGCACGTGGTTTCAGAAAATCTGCTTCAGTCCTCGTATTCGGTGGTAACATACAATTTTCAACCGGACAGTGACTCGAGAACGTTTAGATACAGTCGGAATTCCACCAAAGACGAGCCGCTGTATAAGTATAAAAGAAGGTGAATAATGTGGAAAATAATAATAATAATAATAATAATAATAATAATAATAACCATAATGACAATAATAGTAGTAATAATAATATTAGTATTAATAATGAAAATAATTGTAGTGATCATAATTTGAATCAATTGATTGTTTTTCAAAGCGACAAAGGTAATTTCCATGGACATAGAGTTCATCATTTGTGTGTGGGCTGTGATACTGCCCGGGTGCCCAAACCGAAGCAGGTGGTTATCTTAGGGGGCCACTCCCCGAGCCTTTGACCTAAAGGTCTAACCCACAAGGCAGTGGAGCATCGTAAGGAGATGCAGTCCCATGGTAGCCGGTGACCAACGATTGGTTCATACGCCATCCGTTCCCGCAGGATACTGGAGCCCATGTGCACCATTGATTTGGAATCCGGTTAAAGCGCCGGACATTCGCTTTTCGTCCTCTCATTTTCGTAAACAACACCCCCGCCACGAGAAGGCAATGAGTAGGACTTCCCTGGCAGAGGCTGTATACGCGTGGCCGTGTGAGAGTATTTCGAGAGGGAGAGCGGACTCTCCCCACTCTCGGCCGTACCAGGGCATTCAGGGGGCAAGTGGAGTCTTATATACCCGACTACCAAAACAAAGTAGGCTTTTAAGAGTTCAGACCTAATACTTAATGGTTGAAAGACGAGTCCTTTAACGATTAACACTACTTAAAGCAGATTTTTGAGTTCTGTCACATACCGTAAGGTAAAAATTTGTCCTATGGTTTTGTTTTTCCATATTTTTTCGATAGGTACAGTGTTTGGTATGATATTCATTGTAAGGATAACTATAATAGCAATATGATTGTTTATCAACCATCTTGTCAAGATAGCAATTTTCTTCTTAACCGAAATTTAGAATCCTAGCGCCAGCATAGTATATAAAGTGTCCCTATCAAATACGCAACCTTCCAAAGTAATTATTGCCGTAACTGGTAAGTAATCAAGCTTATCACTCCAGAGGTTGACATATCGTAAACTTATTCAGGGTCATATAAGTTTAGATCCAAAAATGATTATTAAAAAAATTCTATTTAGCAGTAATCATTTTATCGTCTATCGGAATATGGATCTTGGTTCTTTAGTAGTTTCAAGGAGTAGAGTAAGAGTAAGCACAACTAGTTACGTCTGATGGTTTTTGCATCATATTTCATTTTTTAACGTTTGGCGTTGCATTTACTCCAGGTTAAGAATTTTATCCCTAATAAAAGGTTAAGTTTCATATTATAAACTTCTTTTAAGTAAACAAACAGTGTTTCTTACTTCTGAAAGTAGAATTTTGTCGCTCAATATTTGGGAATCATACTTTGTATGGGTTTTACTGCTTACAACTCCATTAGCGGTAGAAAAGCGTTGTATTAGTGGAATCTCTTTCTGGCCATTTGAATTCTACTACAACACTCAGTAAATGTTTCCTAAAGATGGTACTCATTAAGTCATTATAAGTCTAACGTCTTCTGTAGAGAACTTCTGGTTTGATTGTTACATATATACAAACTTGCTTTTTTGGTATTTTGAATATCAAGTTTAATTGGTTTGTTTTAATGTTTGTGTACGTAAAGAGTCATAATACATCCAATTTTTTGTATTTTCATGGATACCTAGGAAAAGCCGAAAAACAGTATATCACTGTAGTTATTGAGGAAGTGCAGGATCGATGCAAAAACTGATAACTGGACATTTACATTCAGTCATATTACCATATAAATATGTGAACTCAAAAGACATCCGTAGGGGATTAATCCTCTAAAATTTTCTGACCTATAAATCTCCATAAGTAGTTAAGCTTTTCATCTGTCTAAAAGTAGTATTTTTACAATGCACCTCGGATTATGCACTTGTTTGTGATACATTAGGGAGTGTTCCCAATTTCAGTACTTCAAAAATGTTCCTGTGTTTTGATCGGGTTTGTTTTTGTTTATTTGGTTTACATATAGTATGGAAAGGTTCAAATTGAAGCCAATCGTTTGTGATTGACATTATAACTATGTGTGTATAGTTGTTTAGCAGCTCATAAATTAGACTGACATTATCGATCTCTAGTACTTTACAGTTGTGTATATCCTGATTATTGATTTCCTTTTTACGAAGGTCTTTACCATAGGCTCAGTTTTCCGTGCTGAAGATTCTAACACACATCGACATCTTACAGAATTTGTTGGTTTAGACATAGAGATGGCCTTCAAAAACCATTACCATGAGGTGGTCGATCTTATCGCAGATATGTTTGTTCATGTGTTCAAAGGGTTGCAACGCGAGTAAGAACCGTTATACCTTTCTCTTACTGCTTTTCTCTCATTAATTATACTTTGAGAATCGTTATTTCATTGAATATCTAGTGTCTTTTTCATTCGTTTTTTAGCACCAAATTCCAAGACTTCCCAGTAAGGGTTCCATCGGTAAATATATTCACTCGATCATACTTAGAATACACCTTTTAGCACAGAAATTGGCCTATTTATTATTTGCCAATTGTATTGTCACTTTCTTAAAACAGAAAAGTTCCTTATTTCAAAATTAAACATCTTATGTTCCGGATCAATAAATTTTCATCTATCGTTTCCTAATATATAATCTGAGAGCACACAGATTAAAACATCGGTCCGTAAAGTCATTAATCTATGAGGAAAGGTGCAGACATTTTATTTTGGACCCACGCAATACTCAAGTTGTGGTTACAAATGTCACGTTACATGGCGTTTATTCCACCATAGTGGTTCAGCTGCATTAGTTATGCATCTTCTGAATCCTGAGTGTCGTTCCCAAATTTTAATTATTTAATCTCGTTTGTTCCCTTTAGAGTGTATTCATCATAATTGGATTCTCATTGTAGTTTGCATTATTTCCAAACCTATGTTTCTCATCTTGTGGATTTGGTATATTGCTGAAGTAAGGTTTGACAGTTTAAACTGATGTACACTCAATTTAGGTTCTACGTTGATCAGTATTAACTGAAGCTAACCCTCATACATGTTACTTTCGTCACTTTTGTCAAAATTTTCATCGTTTAAATTCACCATGAAATAAAGTTTGTGAATATCATCTATGGTTCATTCAATGTGAGGTTTGTAAAATTAACTCTTCTCATATTTGATTATTTTATCTCCAACTTTCGTTGTGTATTGTATTTCTTTTGCAAAATTGTAGATATCAAACTGAAATCCAAACCATATGTCAACAATATCATTCAGAACCTTTTGAATTCCTTCAACCTACGTATGTTTACCGTCATATATTCTATAAATACACTTTGCTTCCAATTGCTATTTTTATAACAAATTACTGCTTTCTGAAGCAAAAAATCAATTATATGATTGTACTCACTTTAATAAAATTAGCCATGTATTTTTATTAATATTCATCTTTTTCTATATATTCATTCAAAGGTTACGCTTACAATATCGTGATGCTATTCGGATGTTACAAGATGCCGGTTGGGAAATTGGAGAACTAGATGATTTAAATACACCTGCTGAAAAGTTCCTTGGGAAATTAATCAAGGAAAAGTATCATACAGACTTTTATATTCTTGATAAATTCCCACTTGATATTCGCGCTTTCTATACTATGCCACATCCTACTGAGAAGGTATGCTTTTTTATGCCAAGTAGCGATTAATTTAAAACCTTTTTGATTATTCTTTGGTAACATATTAAATCATAAATAGAAAACTTCAAGTTTTCTGATTTATATTGACTAGTATATTCAAATAATTGGCAGGACGGTGCCGAAGAATGTGTTCCCCATTAATACTGTATACAGAGTAGTTTTTGGTCGAAATTGCACAGTGTTTGTTTAAAATTCAATCAGTCGTTTTTCATAACGTATTTAAAAGTTTCAGTCTCTCAAATTTAAGTGTAGCATACAGTGTCTTGGATGCGTCTCTATGGTAACATTGTGAATTTTCGTTAACAACGCTCATGAGAGTAAAGTAGTTCTATCACAAGGCTGACTCATTACTACTGCAAGTGATCCTAAATTGTTCTGAATTTGAGGTCCAGTTGACTTTAGTAAACACGCAGGAGCTAATTTGTTAGTTCACATACTTAATTCTAGTTTTTGTCAGCTGAAAAGTTGATCAGGACACTACAATTAAACTAGATGTATTTCACGAATTCAATGATAAGGCGATATACACAATGATTATCCTTAATATTACAGTGATTGTAAGTGTAAAAGTTAGGCATAATTCATTCAAAAGTAATTGTAGATAAGAATTCATTTTTATTTTTCTATAGCCCTATATAATTGTTTCAAAGCTTCAGTCATCAGGGATTATACGTAAGCAGTCTATCTAGAAAATCGTTTGAAAAACCACCAATCGCTTCACAAAAGGTTTTTTTAAACATAATGGCATATAAAAAACACTATTCCTATCGTTGTTTGTCTCAAACAGGGCTATTCTAATTCGTATGATTTTTTCATGCGTGGGGAAGAAATCATGTCTGGGGCACAACGTATTCATGATCCAGTCCTTTTATCGGAACGTGCTACACACCATAAAGTTGGTAAGTTTAGTTTTCTTCCTTATTATTCTTAAGGGCATTTTAACTTGGCACGTTGTCGGTAAACGTTATATTAAACTACGTTTATAGGTTGCACACCTAATGTAGTATCAAAATGTAGGTTTAATTATCTTTTGGTGGACTATCACAATTCAGTGATTCCTTATCGAAACTCCTGTTTATTTATACTCGCAAATTATGCATAGCGAAATCACTCAAAAATTAATCTAAATGCTATTGCACCAAACCGACTATGATTTCATTTAATCTGGATTCTCTTGTTGATGAGCGATGTGTGTTAACAAGTTATTTGTTTCATGCTAATATTATGTGTAAAATCAGCCACTCATGTGCTGTTAATATCTGGTATTATTAAAATTTACTCCCCAATTTTATAGGTTATGTAGATAATTGATTAAAGCGATACATTTCAAGAATATAATGGTCATTCAATCCCTACCAATCCACCTCTATTAACTTTGGCAATTTAATTACTTGTGAAATCAGTCTGTTGAGCAGAAAGCTATACTCCCAGCACGTGACTAGCATGTCCGTTAACAGTCGTTTATGTGCTGTTCGGCTAAACGGCTTCGTAAGAACTCAGAAGGATAGGGACACATGTCGTTGCCTTTTTATCGTTTCTGCCTACGCTCCCACCGACTGCAGCTCAGATGAAGTGAAAGATGAATTTTACAGAAAGCTATCTGAACTTCTTCAGAAAGCTAAACGTTCAGACATAATACTCGTCGAAGGTAACTTTAATGCCCAGACAGGTAGTTTAAACCAAACAGAAGGGCATTTAGGTGAACATTTTAGTATTCCAGCACAGCAAACATATAATGGTGATCGTCTGCTGCAACTGTGCTCAGGCAATCGTTTATTTTTAGCAAACACAAATTTTAAGCATAAGGAGAGACATCGTCTAACATGGCGACCCCCTACACCAAACCAATGATGGACTCAAATAGACCATATTGCCATCAGTCATCGTTGGAGAGGGTCGGTAGAAGATTGTCGCTCATTCTTGAGTACCTGCTTGGACTCCGACCATGCCCTAATACGGGCACGCATATGCTTGCGCCTCACTGGACGCAAAAAAGCCACATTAAAAAGACCCATTAGGACTGAGTTGAGTAGCGAGAAAACCAAAAGTAGGTTCCAGGAACAACTGACATCACACTTAGGTAGTTCTCAAGACGAGGCTGGCCCAGATGTTGCTTGGAGAGCTATACAAACAGCTGTGGAAACAGCAGTGACATCTATCAGTGATTTAAACCACAGAGTTATAAAGAACCAGTGGATTTCTTCAAGGTCTATCACATTGATGGATTCTCGTAAATTCATCCCATCAGGCCCTGAACACGATGAAGAGCGAAAACAAATCAGATCTAGGTTAAGCAAAAGTCTAAGAAACGACCGTGAGCAGTGATGAGCAACCAAGGCAAAAGAGATGGAAAAGGCGGTGACTGTAGGGAACACAAGACGGCTCTACAGATTAATAAAATAAACTGGAATTAATAAGTCAAGTGTAAGTGAGATTATTTCGGAAAAAGACCATACTCTCATCTACTCCCAGTCCAGACATTTAGAACGATGGGCAGAACATTTCAGAGAACAGTTCAGCTGGCCTTCAGCTACTCTACAACTACCCTCCATTCCCAGACAGTGTGAATGGAACATTGAAGTAGGTCCCCCAACTCTAGCTGAAGTTCAACAGGCTATAGTTAGTCTGAAACGAGGAATGGCAGATGGATTGGCTCCAGAGGTCTTTAAGGATGGTGGTCCGATTTTAGCGATTAGGTTGACTAATATTTTAGCTAAGAACTGGGAGTTAGACGTTATCCCATCTGGCTGGTCACAATCACTTATCGTTCCAATATATAAGAGATGGTTAAAATCATCCTGTGACAACCATAGAGGGATTAGTTTAACTAATATAGTATCTAAAATACTAGCCTAACTACGACTTGCGAACTGAAAACACGAGAGAATCAAGCTGGCTTCAGACCTGGTCGTGGCTGCATCGACCACATATTCACCATTCGTCAGGTTTTAACACACAGGCATACTTATCGGCATCCGATAATGGTGGTCTTTCTTGACTTAAAAGTAGTACTTGACTCTGTAGACCGAGAGGTTCTGTAGCAGTGTCTGTCATTGAAAGGCGTACCTCAGAAATACATAAACCTTGTGAAGGCTCTTTACACGAACACTACCAACCGAGTCAGAGCTCATGGCGAACTGTCATCTACTTTTGCAACCTCAAGTGGTGTCCGTCAAGACTGTCCACTTTCTCCATTTTTGTTTAACTTCATCATAGACCTATTGATGGAAATAACATTCTCGTCGACTGAATTCTCGGGCATTGATCTCCTACCAGGATGTCAACTTATCGATTTACAATACGCAGATGACATAGTCCTGTTTGGTGAAGACGCTGATAAAATGCCAAGTCTTTTCGTAGCACTGAGCAACAATGCCAGAATGTTTGGAATGCACTTCTCTCCCTCTAAATGCAAGTTGTTGCTTCAGGACTGGTCTGCGTCAACACCTGAACTAAGGATAGGGAGTGATTTAGTCGAACGCGTTGACAACTTCACTTATCTTGGAAGTCTGATCAGCCTTAATGGGTTGGTGTCTGATGAAATCTCAGCACGGATTCGAAAAGCTCGCTTGGCTTTTGCCAACTTACGTCACCTTTGGCGAAGGCGAGATATCCGTCTATCAATAAAAGGACGAGTATACTGCGTGGCAGTTAGTTCTGTCCTACTTCACGATAGCGAAACATGGCCATTAAGAGTAGAAGACACTCGTAAGCTATTAGTATTTGACCACAGATGCCTTAGAAATATTGCTGGCGTCTGCTGGGATCACGGAGTAAGTAATAGTGAGGTTCGACGCAGGGTGTTAGGGAATGATGGTAAATCAGTTGATGAGGTTATGAATCTCCATCGACTGAGATGGTTGGGCTACGTGTTACGTATGCCTGAACACCGATTACCACGACGTGCAATGCTAACCGGTGTTCGGGATGTTTGGGAGAAAGCTAGGGGCGGCCAAACCAAAACGTGGCATCAGTGCTTGAAGTCACTATCTTGTAGTCTGAACCATGTTGGTAGATGCAGACTACTTGGTTGGGGTCCGCGTGACTATCGTAACCAATGGTTGTAGACTGTGGGTGACATGGCTCAGAATCGGTCACAATTGCGTCGGTGTATACACTCTGTCTTCCCTTAAACTAAGAGATTAAAATCGCTTCATATCTTTCTTTCTACGAACTAATTTTTTCTTGCTGTACTATATCCTTATTGCAATCTTTCCTTTATATATTGCCACCTCTGAATTAACTACTTTTATGAATCCGGTGTCCATCTTGTTGTGTTAATGAGGTATGGCAACTTGGACCGATGCATAAATGTGCCTGGTCCTACGTTGTAGCTGACTGACTAGCATGTTTATAAATTTGTCGACTGTCGTGATAATGATATGATTGTGTCATAATACACATCTATTACTCATATACTAAAATTATGCTGCTGTATTCACTTTTTATTTCTTAATCGTAACGTAACATCTGCCCTTTTAATTTCTATTCATAAACTTATTCTCAGTGCTTTAAACCTACATAAAAACTGCATGTCTGGGCATTTACGTTCGATTCAATACTAAAGGTCGTAGGTCAAAAATTAGTTTGTCATCGTCCTCAGAGTTATGACATGTCTGTGTGAATCGATTATAGACTGGTCCAGATGGGTACACTGCACACGTCTACAGTATATTCGTTATAAATTACTGCCTACTTCCAATACGTAACTTGTGGTGTTTTACTTTCGTTGACATTTTATGATTTCTATTTAATAAAAAACGTTGTTGGTGTTTGAATACATGAAAGAACTAAGGATCGCTTCAAGTATGTTTGTATGTCGAATCTGATCACTTGTTAATTTAAAATTATAACTGCTATATCATATTACTTAACTATTTGATGTTTTTCTGTTACAGATCTGGAAAAGATTAAAGCGTACATTGACGCTTTTCGTTATGGCTGTCCACCCCATGCTGGTGGAGGGATTGGTAAGTTACAACACCTTTCTAAGACATTCAGTCATTTATGCATAACATTTTTTGTTTCTAATATCGTTCCATTAGCAAAGGAAACCAGTGATAAAAACAGATGTTAGTAGGTTTAGTCAGAAGACAAAAAAAACTAAGAGTTGTGCTATGAACTGTAAGGTTCTGGGCGTGTACTATCAGTACTAAAGTTAATAATTATAGCCATATTCTAAATTGTAGTTACACACTCATAAATGATGCTTTTGTTTACCCTCCTAATAATTGTTCACCTACTTGGAACTATGCTTTTCGGAAGCTCAACAATACTTTCTAGCATCACCTGCACGATTGTAAACAGAGGAGCAGGAGGGTGTAATAACTCACTGAGTAATTTTTTTCTTAACAACATTTTGGGGTCCGTTTTATTTATCTATGCTGTTATATCCTTGTTACTTTGCACATTTGCTTTCTTACGGAATACGTTTATTCCATTTTAATTAGTACATGTCTTCAATATTGAATTTTAGGTCTTGAGCGAGTGACTATGCTGTTCCTTGGGTTGGATAATATCAGAAAAACATCAATGTTCCCACGTGATCCAAAACGATTGACTCCTTAATTTATTTTGATAAATCTTCAACAGAACTCGGTAGCACTTTGTGTTTTGTTTCTATTTCTTTGGGGGAGGGTAATTTAAGTATTTATTAATTCAGTAAAATAGTTACTGGAACGCTTAGTATTTTCGTTTGTTATTTTGGTTAGCCTTTCCGTACGTTGCTCTCTTTTTTTGTTTTAGGACATCGAAAAAAACGTGTTCACCTAGTTTTTTAAGCAGCTTATCTAGATTTTGTTGATCCGTATTAAACGATCCTTCAACTCTTAGTTTTTATGTAACATTCTATACATAAAATGTGTAGACCGAGTGGTTTGGTCGTAATGATCTTCACTCTGGAGAGAAATCGTAATTCAGAATTAATTTTACAGTTATAAAAGGAGGTTATTAACATTTCTCTAAATAATATATACTTGCACATAATTGTTTTTCGATTTGTAATAATAATTGTAAGTTAGTGAATATCGCTTTCACATCAGCCCGAATCCAAATGGTTATTAAATTCAAATTACTTAACTTTCTTTTTGGGATGGGAAGGAAACATTCAAATGTGTTTATTAGAAATATTTTCAGAACAATTAGTGGAAGCACAATTCTACATGCAACAAAAACCACCATAGGGTTTTTTCACTGGATGCAGTTTTAACTTGGTATTATTCGATCAACAGTTGTGGTTCACATGAAACATTCTCTCTACTAGTTATTCCCCCTCTTTAAATGTTATGCTGTCTCGGCCAAGCGATATTCCTTATTTGGGTACGTCACAAATATGCTGGAATCTCCAATAGTGTTTGGAACACTGCTACATATGTCAACGTCTGTTCGTAGTTAGTATTTTCAATTTATGACTCCCAATTTTGTTTAATTAGTTTAATGGCTATCGGTGTTCGTTAACTGCATTACTAGTTCTGTGGTATGGATTATCATACTTGAATTCACAGTCAAGTGATAAAAAGCCACTTTACTGTTAGAAGTATCTTGGCCGAGATGTTGCCAGATAAAATATTGTAAGGGAGATAGTTCATTGCTTTCTTTTACTGTTGTTTCTGTTCGTTTTAGTATGGTGTTAAAGTTATGTTAACAAGATTACTTTAGTCCTCCACGCGAATTATATGTTTACTGAGTTCATATTGGTCGGCTGGTTGTGTATTACAGTTGAAATACGACATCTAACAGTTTGTTTTTCGTACTCATCATATAATGTCTTTTTAATTAAATAGAATTTCATATATATAAAGCGTAAACTTATCAAGTATTATAAAATAAGTTCGTAGCTGCTAATCACCGTAGTTATATTACTTAAGAATACAATTACGATATGCCAAGTTCATTCAGAATGACTGATTTAACACTACATTTCTATAGAACTGAACAAATATTAAAGTCAATATCGCGATAAGAGGAATATACATCCGATTACTCTAACAAGTAATCCATATAGAGAATCAATTTCTGTGTATTAAGCGGGGTTGTATTGTAATTTCATTAGCTGGCGGGGATCTGAAAATCCAATAATGCTGTAGGCAATATATTCAAACACGAACATCCGTTCAACCTCACAAAATTTTGTGTTGTCATATAACCCAAAATGACTTCTTATTTTAGTTGTTCTCTAGAAAGAAAACCACCTAGCCCCTGCTTCCTGCAGATGTAGTAAATCTTACTGCTGTTTCATCTAGGCTAAGTGTGAAATCACCTTTCATCCTTATTGGTGTAATTGGTATAAAAACCAAGGCCTTTGCGTAGGACAACGAAAATACCAAGCTAAGGAGACTATCTGTAAACATATCTCCCAGTTTTACTTCGATAGTAGGTGCCACGTTATTCACTTCTGAGACTACTACAGGTACAATCAACTTAACAGAAACCTGAGTGATCGGTTCAATTCCGTAAATATTCAGAAACTAACCATAGCATTCTTAAGTATTACCCACACATACCGTGTAATCCAGTTCCTCCAACATGCAGCTAAAACATTGGCAGAGGTAGTGTCTAATCTAGATGAGAGGTGAGTTCCCTTTAGTTATTCAAAGTAACTAGGATTCCACTGGAAGCTCTGTCTACTCATTAAGGTTCCACAACTTCAATCTTTTTCACTATATACTTAGACTAGAATAAAAAATGTGGTGTCACTGGGGTTCGGACACTAAATACATCAGACTATTAAAGAAATATCGAGTGACCAATCAACTTTATATATTGAAACAACTTTCTGTGGATGGTAGCAAAATACATTCCCATTTACAGTAGTTGAACACCCGGAGCTGATACAATTTTACCACATAAATTGCGCTTGATTAGAAATAGGTTATTACGGTTATATGATAATGAGATGCGTTTAAGGAAGTAAGGTTATTCATTTTATTCAATTACTTAAAATCCGATCAAAGTATTATGATTTACGCATATAACCCAACAGCAAAACTTTCGTGATGTGGCTTCTATATCACTTTATTCATGACTGTTCCTTTCTGATTTTAATAATAATCGGTTGGTTACTCGAACTGGTATTTTATTTCTAAACAGCAATGAAAGCAGTTATTGATCTTAGTATTGTAGTCAAGTTAACTCTCGTTCGATTACATTCTGCCGTAAATCCAAACAAACTCGTCTGCCGTTTTTGTCAAATAACCTTATTTCACGCAATTGATCTTACTAATTTGAATAAATCTAAAAACAATTGAGACAGAATATTATGGATTCATTACATTTCGTGGCTTCTTATTAGTCGCTTACAATCATATATGTATTCAAAAGTAACACTGACATATGATATAATGTGAAACAATTGACACTAATAACGGAAGAAATTATGATAACATGGATTATCAAAAAAATATATGTATTTCACTGAATGTGCATTTATGCATGAGCAAGTTCTTTCAGGCTTTTCTTTGAGCACGAGAGCGGTCAAAAAGGTTTCGTAAAATCCCTCTTGTAATTTATTGGACAGAAGCTGTTGTGGTTTGAATTTTAATGGTCCTGTATCTGACACCAGCCAAATCGAATGCTGATTGTTATTGAAATGTACATGTCGCCAACCCTCGTATATATTTATCGACTACATTCGCCTCAGAGAATAACGGAATAAAGTAAGCAAAATACGAGAATGAGTATTGAATATGTATATTTCATACACTCATTGATTCAGACAATCGAAACGAGGTGACACGCAACGGAGAAGATGAGTGAGCCAACTTTTTTTGATTAAGCGTGTCAATATTTATATTCAGACAAATATACGTTAGAGATACGTAATGAACAATTAACACACATGCACTCATGTCATATAAAAAGTCAGGATTAATAAGCGAATAACTAACAAGGTCAAAATATGGCTTGAGAAGAATGAATAAACTGGCCTGTCCAGAAGCTGGTATGTATAACTTATGTGGGCTTGATATAATACCAGCCACCACAAGATAAACTCCACTTTATGTATTTTTCCGGTGGATGTATCTTTGTAGAGTGCTATCTGAACTTCGTTTTATTCCAATATCTAAGGTACAAAATTTACCTTCTACTTCATGTTCGGTAGTAAAATTTATATTATTATGTTCATTGTTAAACAGATTGAGTAGGTACATAGTGGGCTTCTGATTGTTGCACACAAGATATATGTCATCAATATATTTACAATAGGGTCTAGTCTTCGATTGCGTGTTTAAGCTTCATCTATTTCAAGCTTCCTATAAATTTCATCAAGAAGTATGCCGAAACAAATCACGTGTCAAATACGATAAAGAGGAAAAGACCTGCTTCCTATATCCGCGTTCCAAAGGATTATCTCCAGACAAAAATAGCAGCGTCTTTCAGCTCTGCCGAGAGCAGTGGCAATAACGAAACTCAAAATTGAGTTATGTGTTCAGAAAGAGAGAGTAAATAACTTATCACTACATTTCGTATCGTTTGTTTAAATCCTCCCATTGATGTTTAGGAATGCGATTGATCAGTCTCTTATTGGTATATGTTCATTAGGTGCGGATTGCCCCAAGTCACAAGCATTATAAGCAGGTATATCCATTTTACGAGTTCCAAATTGAACGAAACGCACGTCCTGGATTGTACTACTAGCCACCATCCATCTTTGCTTATAAGCTTATCACTACGTTGGTAAATCATAGTTTTCTGTTATTGTCATTATTAGTATTTTAGTAATGATTTTGTTATGTGGTCTTCCCCAAACTAATTCTTATTTTATACATACTAAAATCATTCTTTCATTCATCTGTTTTTCAGTTCACTTCAATTTCCAAACATATGTAAACTCTTCAAGTCCTGTTTAACTATTATGTAACCCACCTTATCAGTTTCTTATTCTAGACAATTATCAAGTCATAACCAAATGTCTTTCACATTTATTTTCAAGTGATTTGAATATTGCATAAATTCCACACAACTTCTATAATTATCACACAATTTATCTTATCTGTTTCTGGACGTCATTTGATCAGTGCCTCACTTTCCCCGTTGTTTTTGAATTCCATCACCAAATGACCTCACCTATATAAATAACAATCATGATTTTTTTAATTTCAAAGTAACCTGGATGATAAGGTTATTTTTTGTAATAAAATATGATAAAAGAAGGTTTTTCTTATTTATTTGGGTATCCTTTAACGATTTATCATTTTAAAGTTGTCTCGACAGTTCTCAGACAGGTTTTATTACTGAAATGTCATGTCACACGAACACATCCGATTACACTGGCATAAGAGACCACGTGTTATAAGGAAACACCTCAGATCACCTTTGTACATGAATTATTAATGTCTCGAATGGGGTCCGAAGCCTAGATATCCATATTTCAAGCAAGACTTTGAAACCAATCAGGTTTTCAATGCCTATTTGTGAGATAATAATCAACATTATTTTAAAAAAATAGTATTTTACTTTGAAGCACCATAACTCAACACATGTACAGATTTATAGAATACATATAAACAGATAAATGGATTAATTATACAACATTAAATAAATGATAATAACTTTGAAAAAAGTTAAACCCATGATAATAATAAACTAAATTTGGATTGAAAAATTGTCCTCTCCTATGACTCTTCAAGTGTGCTGTGACATTTAATGACATATATGGAAGAATTAAATCATTTCTGATGTATAAATTCGCTCCAGACAATCATTGAAAGATCTATCGAAACAATGCTTATATAAAAAGCCACCATTGTTCATGGCAATTTACTTCAGTAATCTTTGGATGGATCGTAGTTCATAATTTATAGTTCTGAAAAATATGCTGGCACAGAATGATTAGATTTGAACCACTGGAATCACGATTCTCTGTGAGACTTCAGGACTTTATATTAGATTCTCTGAGTAGTCTTCAGAGAGTATTGCTTAATAAAATCAAATTGGTTTGAAATAGCTATTTGCTTTTCTTTGGTTGCCCATAGGTTTCTAATTGGGATTTCAAAACTACAAAAATATAGTAAAATTACAATATTCAATTCTTTTCTCATCACTGAATAAACCTTTGATGAAAATAGCTTCAAGCTACCACACGGTATATTTATTTAGTTCATAGTAAAATAAAAAGACACCCTAATAATAATAAAATAGTTGGTCACCTATAGTATACAGTATTTTAGTACAAATAATTACATTCCGATCTGGATTACATTCCTATATTGGTTGTTTTGACTGTGAGAAGTAATATTCGAATCTAGATAGTTCAATTTTGTCTACTTGAGTTTCGTAAGCTAATGACTTTTTCAATTTTAAGAATAAAGACGATAATTCACTGGTAATTACTTGATTCGGAATATGATTAGTGAATTACACTAGAAGCCTATTTCTTGCCAATAAAACAACCTTGTAATACAACAAGTTTAGTCCATATTTCGATCAAACCAATGATACATTTTCACGAAACGTGTTTTTTTCTACAAATTTCCTTTTAATTACCGGATTTTTGAATGGTTTGAAGTCAAAATAATGCTTGAGGAATAAAAAAGGAAAATTATAATTCACGAGAAAATACATTCAGTTCGTTTTACCCCTTTCCTATTTTGTGAGATCAGTATGTTTTTTGGTGAATTGTATTCAATCTTTCAATACTGTATTTTTTTCCGAAACCACCATTCATATAAATCTATTTTTTCCCTACACATTCACAATGTTTGTGTGCAAAAGTATGTGCACACGTTTTACAAACACAGCATGTGTACACTTTGTGCCTATAACGTATCTACCTGAATGTTTTTAATATGCATACAATTATGTGTATACACCTATATAAAAATGCTTAGTATACACAATTGTTGAAGGAAAAAGTTCCCATAAACTGTAAATTCACAAATAATGCACATTTTCATAAACACATATACATTACTACTGTCCACTATCGAAATCGGAGCAGTTTGATGTTTTAACAAACAGTTTATCATTCTTTAGAAAAGAAATTTCAACCAGTAAACAGCCATATACAGATTTGTTATATATAAATAGATAAATCAAGAAAATTAAAATTATTCAGTAATATCGACAGTGGTAAAAATTACATAACATTATTATTGTTAGTAACAAACAACATGTCTGAATCTTTTTATCCGATACTTGACTCTTCCTATAGACGAGAAGAATGTGCCATCCATTTAGAATGTCATGTTAACTCAGATGACAGGATCACAGCAGGTAAGTACACATATTCTTTATACTGTATATACATGTTTTTTAAAAAATTATACTATTAGGTAAATTTACTCCTGTAAATAATAGCTGTGTAGAAAAAATGTTGTTGTTAATGACATGTTTCACGTGTTTATTTCTTGTATCTTTCTAATAAGGATAATAATCAGTATAACTGAACATTGATAACTGAGATAAATTTAGCGCGCAGTTTTAAATATATACATGGATTATTTGAACATTTAAATTTGAGAATCGAAAGTACAAATGGATCTATCACATTTTAATATGGTCAGTAATAAGCTTTACATAAATTTTCTGAATGTAGAAAATCATTTCATATGTTGAAAAAATAAGTGAGTTAAAAATTTTTTGAAATCTGGAACACTGGATTGTAAGAAATATAAGGATTTTTATCAATCTCGAATTCATATAGTACTCATCTAAAATAAGTGTCCAAGCTCTTCGATATTGAATAGACTAGTTTAGAAATGCTACAGAGATTAGTTAATTCGCTTATTCGACCATAAATTACTGTAAAAGGGTTATTATGAACCCTTAAAATATTAGAGACATGGTCTCATAATGACAAGTAGAATCAATATGTCGGTTAGCAGCTTCAATGTTTATTTCATTAACGTCCAGTCAAAGATATTGCAAAATAGAAAAGCATTCTTTTTCGAATTGTTTATTGAATTAATTTACTGATCATTTAAACTAAAGGATTATCATGTTACTACCCAGTTTAAACACTAATTTATCCGTTGTTGATTACTAATGACGGGAACATTTCAAGAAAGTTTTAAAAAGTTTTCATTTTAATACATCACAAAGAGATGGTGAAAGTAAGCAAATAAACAAATCATCAAGATCCCAAATGTTTAATGATTAACTCTCCAACTGTAGGCAAACATGGAAAACAATAAATAGAGGCTTTTATAATGTATGAAGTATAGATGAGTTTGAATAACATACATGAGAGTTTGTTTGATGGATTAACGTAAAGGTTACATAAAGCACTTGATTTTCATTGGCTTTTATCGAAATAGATTACTTTTTATCATAAACAGGCACAACATTTTAAGCTTCATCCTATTAAGCTGAGCACTAAGAACTGTTGTTTACGGAACACTAGAATAAAACAATATGTTCTTTTAAAGTTATCTTTAATCACAAGCTTAACCCGCAATGATTTGTGCACAGAGCAGGTTTGGTTAAAACGTTCTGATTTGCTTTATTATTATCTTAGCAAGAAGTGACTTGAATGAAGTTCTAAGTAACTCATCAAATTGCTGTTTGCTTGCCTTTATTTATTTAATCGGGTTTTAATAAATAAATTTATTCATAGAATAGTTATGTGTTAATATTTTCCATTCAAGTGCTTAACAAAACAGGTTTGCACTCCTAAGAAAGCTTGAGTTTCCTCATTATCACAAGTTACTTGCCTTCAGAACTGCTAAGAATGATTAGAGATAAATCAGTTGTGTGTTATTCAAATTTGAAAAAAAGTTTTTCTGATGTCTTGTCAGTTAGCCTAGCAATCGTACTTCCATTATGATTTGCAAAATTAGTTTGGTTCTCAAAACCTGACTAGTCACTGTTTGGCGATTGACACATTCAAAAAGGGTATTACGTAATCATAGGAAAGGTTAGATTTCACAAAAAAATTTCAATGAGCGTTGTATTTGCTTATAGTTGTTTTATCACTCACCTATTCAGTTATTTCTCTCCATTCACACTGTCCAATAATTTGAAAAATATTCAAAATGTACTTTACATATACAGGTGAAAATTTTTCTGATCAAATTCTACCACCAAGTTTATCGACAACATCAACAAATGGTAAACTACGACCGTATGCTATTTGTGCACCAACTCAAATTAATTCAATTACACAAAAATTTTATACCGATACATCTAAACAACCTTCAAATATTATATTTGATTCATCGGCCAGACTACCAACAACAGGAACAAGAGCGACCAGAACAACATCGATTAGTACCTGTGATAACACAAATACTAATTGCAACAATACTAACAATCAGAGTACAAATTATTCACACTGTATCACTACAAATCCTATGCTCAGATCTGCAAATTATGATATGTCGAGATTTACATTACCTATAGATAAAAATAATAAATCATTCAAATTAAATGATGACACATCAGATTTCCTAGTGAATAATACATTCAATTCAAATAATTCTATGCTCAATAACACCAATAATCATCATATTAGTACACTTAATTCAACTGTTAATTGTAATTCCAGGGATAAAGTAAAAAAACGCCGTAATCGAACTACTTTTACAAGTCATCAACTCAATGAGATGGAAAGAATATTTCAGGTGATTAATTTTTCAGTGTCACCATTTTTCTAACAAGCTTGTTTAATTGCTAATAAAAAAGTTAGTTAAATTATGCAGTAAGACCTTTTCATTGATAGGTCACTTAAATTTTAAAGAATTTGTTATATGAAATAGTTCTAATACTCATATGTGGAAAATTTAGTGTTCTTGTGAAAAATGTATTGTATTCTTAATTTGATTGTCTTAATATTCTATTCTCAAGAAAACTAAATTATGTTGTCTTATAATAATAACAACAGAATATTAATAAATTGCTTATATTACTTATCAGTTAGTTTGTAGATTTACTGTTCAGTTAACTCGGATACGTACGTGCAATCATAGGGTTAGTTAGTTTCGTTGTACAACTTCTGTCTAGTATATTCACGGTCTAAAGCCTGGCTTCAAAACCAATGTTTGAAAAACTAAAAGGTATCATTAACTGCCACATATTACGTTTTGACCTATTGTTTAGTACCTAAATACTGAACAGTACTTTATTCCATTTCACAAATGCATGATATATATATCATGTAGATTGATCTAGTGAGTTACACTAATGTATCATTTGTAAACATTCAAAAAGCATTTTCAAAGAATATTTCACAGAAAGGAAGTGTTTTGAAATGTGCATGATTCAGTAGATTTCCTTAACATCTTTTATAAACTTGACTTACATGAAGTGAATTGTAATTAGATGCTACAATTAAGTAATTAAGATCTGGATGCTCCAATTAAAAGAGTTTATGAACGTTGATTTCGAGGAAATTATTTAACTAATTTACTCTTAGTTAAAATAAGTGATACATTCATTATAAGATAATACAAAAGCAGTATAATATTTTGAGTAAATGATTGCACAGGGTAGTTCTGTAACTGCAGTGATTTACTGAGTATTAATTAAATGGTGTAATTTTATTAGATACTAAGCTTGTATTTATATATCATCACTTTAATTATAGCAGAACATGTCTCAAAGTATTATAAATGTATAGATATGTAGGATATAATGTATACATATAAACTATCATACACTTGCATAGAGACTTCACAGCTTTATATAGTGATGCTTACATTTGATTAAAAGCTTTCAAGCATAAAATTTGTAAAGGTAACATTTTCCTCCACATGTACAGAACTGTATTTTCACAGTCGAAAACGTCTGGTTGAAAAACAGAAATTGATGTTTTATACCAGTTCATTAGTCAGACATTTGCCTCCTTATTATTTTTACCGAATTAAATATTTTATTCGTCTGATTTTTATTGATTTTCATTTGAATGGTTTAGATATTCCACTCTTTTTTCTTGATATTTCTGTTTAATCATCTGTGATAAAAAGTAATCAAGCGGAAACTTTTGTAATATAAATTAAAAGTACAACAGTCTTTGATCATATAATGAATTTAGTATTATTAACAAAGAATATATTTTATCAGAATGAGTTTTGTGGAGATTTTAGGAAATTTCACAGGCTGAAATTATGAGTCAGTTGAAGTTAGACCACCATTGAAAACCTTGAAGCACTGGACGGCCGTTTCGTCCTAGTATGGGACTCCTCAGCATATATATTTCACCATTAAATGGTTAAAATGATAATATTGATGAACCACTGTATTTTCAAAAAAGAAATACAAGTAATATTTATACAATAAGTCATTATCTGATCTACTAAATGAATTATAAAGTAAATAATTGACTCTAAAGAAAGCGATGACATACTAAATTATATAAAACAAAGTTTTCTTCATTTAAACAATGTTTAATGTCAAATAAATTTTCATCAGAAAGGGGATTTTGGAGAAATTGAAGTAATTTAATGGTTGAATTCAAGAGTCGATTAAAGCTAGACCACCATGGAAAACCTGGAAGCTTTGAATGGCTGTTTCGTCCTAATATGAGACTCTCCAGCAGTGCGCATCCACGGTCGACTAATGAATTCAACTATTAAATTACTATAATATCCACAAAACCCCTTTCTGATTATAATCATCATATGCTCACTAGTGACGGTCTTTAAGTGGTATTTCCTGGAGTTCTAGTGAGAAGCAGTGATCAGTGGAGTTCAACTGGGTCTGTTGTGAGATAGTAACTCACTGAAGACAATGGTGATCGGTGGCGCAATTTCGTGGTTTAGTCGAAGTTAGACATTAACACCGTCGGATGCCGGCTCAGTGGTGTGGAGGTTAAGCGTTCGCGCGCGAGACTGATAGGTCATGGGTTGGAATCTCGCGAGGTGGGATCGTGGATGCACACTGCTGGGAAGTCCCGTACAAGGACGAATCAGTCGTCTAATGCTTCTAGTTTTTCTATGGTGGTCTATCTTTAATTGACTCATCAGTTCGACTAATAAATAAGTTTTTCTTAATGTGAAAATTAAGACTAGGTACACTCCACTCCATGTAGACCCAAAAGTAATGTTCAACTAAAAGTAGATTTGTGATTAGTTTACAGATGAGGTGTTCGTGAATTAGTAGACGATATTTTACTCAGTTACCTTATAGATTCATAAAGGATAACAAAAAAAGAAATCAATAGCCAACAGCTTGGGAAGTAGACATAACGTATTTATTTGTAGTAAGAACAACACGAAAATTTCTAAACTTGGTTAGGGAAAAATTCCGATATAAAATTTCGAAATAATTGATAATTCATAACCATCTTTTAAAATGCGTATAAAAACACATACTTACAGATTCTAACCTGCATCATAGATTTTAAGATTGGTCAATATAAGTTAATTAACACTAAAAGCTAGACAATCGCTACGTTAGTTACAATTTAATAATAAATTAATACAAACAATGTTTAATGCTTAGAAAAATATTGGAGATGTTTACTGTGGACTACAACTGTTTCATAAACTACACTCGGTCTTAGAAATAAGCTATGATAGGTACTCTAGCTGATAGTTGTTGATTTTGGCAACATATAAATAAAACTGGATCTTTATAATGAATAGATCTTCGGATTTTCAGTTGTAGAAACCGAAATATTTACATGCACTTGGACTGTAAATTGGTTTACCGCATATATAAATAGATTAAAATCAAGTTTGTAACACCTACATTATCACAGAAAGTGAATGCCAATATGGCAATAACATCAAAAAAGAGGTTGAGGAAAGACTACAGATCAGGTGAAGGCTTCTAATTTTTGGATTTTATAAAACTAGTAAGACCTATACCCGTATTTACATCTTAACATTTTTTAATATTCATTGATTATTGAGTTAGAATATTAAGACACATCTCAGACGTGATTTAAGAAAACGTTTTAATCAAGTTAGAGTATAACTGAGTCTGCTCAATCTTACTATAACCTCCTGTCTCACTGTTCACAACATAAAGGTAGAAAATTACCGGGTTTGTAGATAAATGTATTCTGTCAAAAGCAATCTCTTATAATGTAATGATTACTTTGTTAGCCTATGAATAAATCTTTGATCATTAAAGTTTAATTTGTACATTAGGTCTTAGATACATAATGTGTTAGAAGTGTTACATATGAAATATTCAGTAATGTCTACGATTATTATTATTGATTAAATTTCTAGTTAACTGTAAAACTATTTATCCAATGTATTCAGTGTAAAAAGAATTTTTTAAAAACTCTTTGAAAATATTTTAATCTTTTCCGTTACTTATAAGCAATATGTATTTAAGTATCTTTGTGTTACAGACCAGAGTTACTTTTATGACTGTGAAATTGTATATTGAATTGAATGTACAGTATGTACTTAATATTATTTATTTAAATAGTAAAGTAATAATAATAATCCTCATTTCTGAAGCAATTTGGAAGACTCTCCCGGTCTCCCACACTGTAAGAGCATTCTGTGTACCTAAATAAATAGTTGTTCTGGTTGTCAGAAGGGGCATCAACCTCGTGACTTCGGAAAGAACTCGGCTTTCATCATGAGGTGTCATAACTTTTCTAAATGAAGACCTTTTGACTCTCAGGGAAAAGTTTAAAAGGTTTGAATAATTTTTTCTGGTTAGCGTTTTTATAACGAGTTAGTTTTCTACGGGATGGGATCGCTAACCCCATGCCCAACCCTCCTCCTTTATCCGGGCTTGGGACCGGCAATAACCCCCGGAGGGACTCAAGGCGGAGTTAATAAACTGTATTAATTGATTACAATGTATTTTGAAGACATGTTTAACTTGAAAATATAAATTACTTTGCAGTGCAAAGTAAAAATTTTCAGTAAATTACAAAGACCTTATGATCAAATGATATATTGAAAGTTCCCAATTTTTAATTAAAACAAAGCTATTCAAGTGAGGTTCCGAAGATAATTAAATGGATAGTTTTTCACATTTTAATAAGTTCGAAGCTTTTAGCGTCATAAATTAATCCATTATTCCTTGACAAGTACATTTATGACGCTAACATCACTAATTCAGTTACACTTGCAAGCAGAATGATTAGAGATAATAAGCTGATGGATTCCTAATAGTTATCAAATATGATTTACTGAAACCTCCATACACATCTAATTAATCTAAATGGTTGTTTATGCTTCAGATTTTTTCCATATACTGTAATAACCAAATTTTGCAAATTTGTTCCGCAGTTTATCGAGTAAATATTTTCTAGATCTTAGACTTTTCTCAACTCATAAGGACAATTGTTACTGTTATTATAATTTTGAATCTGTCTATTGTCAAATAATTTTAAGTTTAGGTTTTATATTCAAGATAAGTTTCTGACAGTTTAAAACCGTTTTATTGACTTGCAAGAATTTGGATGTTATTTAAGAGCAGAGTACACTAACCGGTCAATGGGTAGTATTTAACGTATGCTTAAATATCATTAACGTTGATAATGAAATACAGATCACTTGAATTTTTCCACCATGAAGCTCATCCTTCTAACTGCTTCAAAACATCTCATAGTCATCCTGTTTTAGTTGATGTTATGATTGATACTTAGAATTACATTCATATGAGAAAACCAACGAATTCAGAGTGAGTTAATTTCAAAAGAAAGATTTTC